CTACCTCAATTGGGAGTAAAGGTGTGCCACTGGGTCGGAACAAACCCACAAATGACCCTCCAGCGGGTTTTCAGAGGCAGTAAATCACAAGGGAGGAGATTGCCTAGCTGGTGGCTTTGGGCTGAGTGGCTTTGGGATTATAAACACAGCTTCTTAACACTGGGTCTCCCTGTATATGGTCTAGTGGGGTAAAGAGTTGCTCTGACAACCTAAGATAGGCAGCTGGAATACAGCAGCTGCTCCAGTGAAGAAAAGTGAGCAATCTCCTTCCACACAATTTATAGCCTCTGAAATCTTGGTCAGCTATGAGCTGGTGCCAACTCTACAGGACATAACAACACACATTAATTTGTTGCACCTAGTAGAAATCCCCCCCATTTAATGATTGCTCCAAATTAGCACCACATTGTCTTGGTCCATTTTTTGTGAATTAGTTTCATATTAGCTTTCTCTTAACTGTGGCCAGGTTATCGTAAATATTTAGACAGAAAAAAAATTAAGGTGAGGTTGGGAATGAACAGATACCTTTTCTTTTGTATGCCTCTTGAGAAAGACTATCCCCAAACCCTTTTCACAGGTAATCCTTTTAAAACCTTGCAACAGTCAACAACCTTGCATGCCAAAGGCATACCCACAAAACACCACAGACCATTTGCACTTTTTAATTTGCCTTTAAAAAACCCCCAAATGCTAACACAACAGGTTGCCTGCAATTGTAACAAAATTAATGGATTTGAGAGGCCTCTTTTTGAAATGGCAGTAAGTTGAACTGGAGTCAGTTCTGCACCTGCTGATGTGAGGAAGGGGGGTTTGATGAAGAACCGAAGTTGTAATTAGAGTCCTTAATTTAGGACTCATCTCCAGCTTCAGGGGTTACTCATAGCAAAGTGAATGCATTGTGTACCACTAAAAAAAGGATTCCAGCAGACAGCATTACATTTCCATTCATTTTGCAGTCAAAAGGGAGGGGAAAAAATCTGAAAAGTAAATCTATTAGATAAAATGTTATATTTAGCTGAAAATAGATCTATTCCTCAAAATGAAAATATAGTAAAGCTGAAGTTGAATCTGCATTTAGGTTTTAAAGCAAGGGTAAGGAAAAATCACATTGCCATCAAGTCAGAACTGAGTCATAGCTGACTTTCCAGTGGGTTTTCAGGCCTATAAATTGCATGGGAGACTGCCCATCTTTCTCCCTCAGAGCAGCTGGTGGACTCAAACTTCCTGCCTTTGGGCAGGCAGTGCAACTCCCTATGGACTATGGCAAGGGTGGTGGTTAGATACCATCCAGTCACCCACAACTCATAATGACCCTAGGAACAACAGAACCTCTGAACCTTGTATTATCCTGCACCATCTACATGATTTCTCAATATGCTTGAATTCATTGTTACAGTCACTAAGTCTATCTTGAGGGTCTTTCTTCGACTTCCCACATCTTCCAGCATGATGTCTAGGCTGGTTTCTTTTGATATCATGTCCAATATACTGGGTTTGTTGTGTTGGTTTTTTTTTTTTTAAAGTATTTCAAAGAGGTAACACTGCATGGTTCAAAATTGGGGTGTACGCCAGGGATGCATCCTGTCTCCATACCTTTTCAACATGTATGCAGAGCAGATTATCCGAGAGGCTGGGCTCTATGAGGAGAATTGTGGCATCAGGATTGGTGGAAGATCTATTAATCTGCGTTATGCAGATGACACAACCCTGCTTGCTGAAACTGAGGAGGACCTCATGCACTTGCTGCGAAGGGTCAAGGACTGCAGCCTTCAGTATGGACTGAGGCTCAATGTCAAGAAGACAAAGATTCTCACCACTGGACCAATCGGTAGCATCAGGATAGATGGTGAAGAGATTGAGATTGTTCACAGCTTCAGTTTGCTCGGCTCCACAGTCAACACTCTTGGCACCAGCAGTCAGGAAGTCAAAAAGTGTATCGCGATGGGAAAGTCTGCTGTTAGGGACCTCTCTAAAGTACTCAGGAGCAACGGTGTCTCTCTGGAGACTAAGGTGCGCCTGATACAGGCCATGGTCTTTGCAATCACTTGTTACGCATCAGAGAGTTGGACGATGACTAGGGAGGACAGGAGAGTTGATGCCTTTGAGCTGTGGTGCTGGAGAAGAGTACTGAATGTACCATGGACTGCCAGGAAAACAAACAGATTCATCTTGGAGAGGATTAAACCAAGCTACTCCTTGGAGGCAAGGATTCTGGGGCTTCGTCTGACATACTTTGGACATGTTGCCAGGAGGGACGGGTCCTTGGAGAGGGACATCATGCTTGGGAGGGTGAAGGGACAGCGCAGGAGGGGAAGACCCTCTATGAGATGGATTGACTCGGTGACTGGGGTAATCGGGATGGGTGTGTCAGAGACAGTGCGGTTGACGCAGGACAGCAGGATTTAAGGCTGTTGTGCATAGGGTCGCTGAGTCGCAAACAACTCGACGGCACATAACAACAACATTTCAAAGAGAATTAAGAGGCAACAATGAACTGCAAGTTTGTCAGCAACTCATTCTTGTAAACTTCATTTCTCAACATATTTTATTCTCAATCATAGTTAAGTGACTTCATACTAATTCTGTACCAGTCCCAGGTTAGGAAACCTGATCCCTTGAATGGAGGAATTAAATTTGTAGTTACTTGGCTCAGTCTTTTGGAAGTGTTCTTAACTGTAACTATGTCAGTATTTTGTAAGACTTATTTAACCAAACCAGAATTATACATAAAACTTTATTACCTCCCCTGATCCTTAACCCTAGAAAACTAGTTTGGGAAGAGGAAAGAAATGATTAAAGATCTCATGTCCCTTAATTCCTCAGAGAAAGACTAGCAGTTTTAGTTCACTAATTGAACCATTGTAGAAGCAAGGATGACAACACGTCATCTCATGTCTGTTGGCGCTTGCTATCAAAAGGGACCAGTTTCTGGAGATGAACATACTTGGTAGTTGCTGAGCACTGCTGAGTTGGAACTGACCTATAGCTGACCTTCGGACAGGTTATCTGAGGCAGTAAATTGCAAGGGAGGAGACTGTCAATCCTTGGGACTGCAGTACAAATCCTTAACACTAGATGTCCCTTGCCTGGTAGGACAGTAAAAAAAAAAAAAGAAAAAAAAAAAAAAAGAGGAGGAAGCCTCAAAGAAATGGCTGAAACAATGGACTCAAGCCCAGCAACAATTGTGAAGATGGTGAAGATTGGATGGACGATGTTCCACTGTGCTGTACATGGCATAACTGTTACCTGTGTGTAGTATCCACCAATAAAAAGAAAAACAAACAAAACCCCACAATCTTTGCTGTCAAGTCTGAACTGATTCAAAGTTAACCCTTCAGCAGGATTTCAGAGGCTGTAAACTGCACAGAAGGATACTGCCCATCTTTCTCTCATGGAGCCGCTGGTGGATCTGAACCACCAGAGAACTCTGTACCACCTTTGGGTTAACAGTACAACTCCCTATCAACTACGCTACTAGGGGGACCAAATCGACTCTACAGCATCCAGCTACTGAACCATAGGTTCTCAAAGTTGGCATGAACCTTCCAGGTTTTAAAAAAAGGAAGCTCATCAACAAACGAATAGATAGAAAAACTATGGTATATTCACACAATGGAATACGCCATAGCACTGAAAAACAATGAACTCCTAAAACATTACATAACAATGATGAGCCTGGAGGACATTATGCTGAGTGAAATATCTTAGTCACTAAAGGACAAATACTGCACAACACCACTACTATAAAATAGGACAGATACGGAGATGGAGGTTAGGGAGCTCTGGTGTGGCCTAGTGGCAAGAAGGTGCACTGCAATCCCAAAGCTGCTCTGTGGGAGAAATGGGCAATCTTGTCCCATGCAATTAACTAAAAACCCATCAGAGGGTCGGCTCCAACTCTATGGTATACAGCAACATGGGGGGGAGGGTTTGGGGACAGAATGGCAAGAGTGGACAGAAAATGAACACTGAATTAGATCAGATGAGGGATGAACTGTCCTAAAGGAATACATGATTAGGCATTATATGTATTACAATAATCTGGAATAGGAGGTGCACTGTGGGGAGGGCTGGGGGCAAAACCCCATTTTCAATGTTAATGAAATAGTTTAATCCTATAAAATTTAAAGACTTTAGCTTTGTTCCCTTTACCACTGTGAAAGTATTGTTTGCCCAAATGAAATGCACACCTCATTTCTCTAACAAAGGACTACACACTGTAAAGAGGTAGATAGTGGAAAATAAATGACACACTCTTCTAGTCATTGTGGTGACTTAGTTACAGGGACCCAGGTGCTGAAATGAATCCCTTTACATAGCTCCAATGTTAATACATAATTAAACATTGATGTTAATATATACATTTAAAACAAGGGCAAGGAAAAATCACTGTGACCAATCCCTTGTCAAGCAGGGTGCTAAATATTTTAGACACTTCTTGAAAAGCATTGCACTGAAGAAGTTTTAACTGCTAACAATAAACATCTGGGATTGATCCAGGATAACAAACCCAAAAGCATGTAAAAGTGAATGGCTAAAGATCTGGCTGTAACCAGCATGCTGGGCCACAGGACAGCTGTGACAGTGACTGACCAGCTGTTCCTCTCTGCTGAGTCAGATTCATCCACATGTGCCCAGGTGCTGAAACGGAAACATTTTATACAATCACCACAGTTAAGTCCCCAGGTTAAGGCCTTGTAAAGTACAGATAACTTGTACTTGCCCTTTAATATTATGCAAATTGGCCCCACTTTGCAACTATTGAACTAACCCCTACTTACAACAAAGTCTTTATCATAATTACCTCACCTGCTCTAAAGTAATATTAAATAAGAACTGTATGTACTCATTCCACCTTACCTACAGATTTGACTTAAAGACACATATAGAAACTGATCTCATTTGTCACCCAGCGGGGACTGCCTATCCTGTCCTTCTCCAAGGCCCCCAACTGTCCTTCCTCTGTTGCTGCCCATAAATGAAACAAGCCACCACTGTGATCAACTTGGGCTCCTTTTATTCAGGAAGCATACACTAATCCACTTTGTACAATTTTTTTATACATCCCAGAAATAAGCGAAAATAGCAGTTTTAAATATGTTACAAAGTCAACTTTTGAGGCTTAATAAGCTTTATGAGAGACGGACCAGCCAACTGACCTTCTCCTCTAAGCACCAATGTCTTCAGTTTTTTTACATCAAGCTCTGCCACAGCTGTGGCCGGCCTGGATGTGCTGCACATCCAAACCACGGGAAAGCTAGAATGGGGAGTCGCTGTGAGTCTCTCTGCAAGGCACCAAGAACAAACAGCTCAAGCTTCCTTTCTTCAGAATGGACCTGTTTCAGACTCCTTTCAATTGCTCCCACAAGCAGTGCTCTCTCAGCATGAAGAGTAGCATTTATTAAAACCCATCATGTATCACAAGGTACAGTAAATCACTCCCAATATTCGGGGGGTGGGGAGTCATGTGGTAGAAGTTATAAATAAAATGAACACTAAAATTCCTTTAAGGAAGTTTTACATCATTTCATTGATCAGGACATTTTCAAGTACAGCACAATTTACTGGTAAACATTCTATAGAGCTAGCCTCACACAAAGATGAAAATAGATAATACAAAATGATGGGACACTTTTCTGTAATTATGGAAGACTGTAGTTTTGCTGTAGTCAACATCAACTTTACATAATGTTGCGGACTGCTGTGCTATATATGCCCTTTAAAATGAGAATTTGTTCTCAGAGTAAAATCCCATTCAGAGATGTGTTCTTGCTTTGTACAAATAGCCAAAATCCAAGGGGGCATAGCAGTATCAAAGACACGAACAGTAACTGCACAATGCCATCATGTGGATTAAGCTAATACAAGTGGACAGATTTTTCCAGGTTTTCATATCCAATAAAGCACTATATGAAACAATTGCTCTGCCCCCAGAAAATGTAGCATCTCTTTTGTTTATAAATTTGCCTCATAAGGCATTTACAAAATAAATTAGTAAGAACTCAATTTGCTTGAGGCATTACAAGTTCATAATGCCCCACCTGGCCCTCCTGTTTGAGCTGGTCCAGCAAGTCTTCTTTCCGTCTTTTCCTCCCAACTACCAGGTACCTGTCGTGGCCCACTCCGTGGGACTTACTCTTCAGGCCATATTTCTGTGCAATCTGGTGTATTTGCTTCCGCTCATCATTAGTCAGTTCCGTAGAGAAAGTCAAATCCGTGTGGCTCTCCGAGCGGGCATAATTTCTGATGATCTGTTCAATATCTCGCTTGGCAAGTTTATTCACTCTTTCAACGTCAAGTCCCAGCCCCTCTCGCTTATGCTGCTCTTTGACCGAGATGGGCTCCCGTATTCCCTCACCAGACTTACCGAGCCCACCCCCTGTCCAGCCCATCTTTCGCAGCAGCTGATTGCCGATGTTGTCTTCTCGGATTTGCTGTTTGTAAGCCTCCTCTGCTGAGCGGCCCTGAATTTCATTTCTGGAAATCACATCCTCCACTGCTCCTTTCTTCAAGTTGTTAATGACAGTGGGCTGGGTCTTTTTGAGGGTTTTTACAGCCTCCCCCGCGGCTTCATACTTGACAGTCTTCTTCACGCCAACGGCTTCCGCAATTACTTCGCTCTCTAGGATCACCTTGCATTTCCACCGGAGGCCTGTCATTCGCTCGTACACGTACTCCACGGTCATCCGGTTAAACTGAGCTGTGTCGTTCAGGGTGCACACAGGATTGGAAGAGTTCTCATACACCACGAGGTCCTTTATGTCTTTCTTCTTCCCAGATCCCTTGGGCGACGAGTTGGCTTGGCACTGAGAACTTCTGACGGATGGGTAAGTGGGCTGGGTCTTTTGAAGAATCTTCAAAGCCTCATCAGCAGCTGCATGTTTACTTGTTTTTTTTGTTCCATAACCTTCAGCTAAGCAGTGATCCTGCAAAAATACCCGACAGCGCCAGGTGCGATTTGGCATCATCTCATATTTGTACTCAACAGACATTTTGTTGTACGAGGCAGAGTTGTTAAGGATGCCAATTGCATCATTTGCATTCTCTGTAAGGACAAAATTGGTCCAGTGTTTGGCAGAAGCATTAAAAATTGGCTGCCCAGAAGCATCTTTCACTAATACTACCAGCTCTTCTGGTGGTTTCAGTGCCGGGGGAAAGTCATAAGAAGGCATACCAATCTGACACACCACAAGGTCCTCCCCAAATGTGTGCTTGAATTTCCGTCGGATAACTCTCACTTCAATCCGCTTCTGCAAGAGTTTCACAGCTAGTTCAGTTGCTCGATCCCTGGACCCATTCTTGCTGCCAGCATAACCTGTAGTTAAGTAGATATTTTGACAGCGAACTTCACATGCATAACCATCAATTAGAAGTTTTTTATTTTTGGGGATGTCAGCTGGTGGGATTTCTTTTAAAGGGGCATAAATATACTCAGGGTTTGTTTTACATGCCTGAATACAGCGTGTTAACATGTAAGTATAATTGATTTTATCGGAGCCAGATGTCATCTCTGGATTTGAAAGGTTTTTCCAGATAGTCGCTGTTAACTTTTCAATGAAATACTGTTTCTCAGCGACCACTGACTCGGGAAACGTCTGTGATGGTGAAGGCTCAGAAGCTGCTTGGGAGTTTCCCTGATGGGAAGTGCTGCTTGGAGCAGGCTTTCCATTGTCAAAATACATGTTTGCTGTTACAGGCTGGTCTTTTGTGTAAAGAAATCCTGATGAATCACAGTACTGAGAATTCCCATCTTGGATACTGAAAGAGTCTTGCGTATAATCTTGGGAGACGTCTCTTGACATGCTGGCAAAGTGTATCTGCTCATTTATCTCTCTTGTTTGCAGTCCATAAGGTTCCTCCTGTCTTTCATTGCTTGAACTACTAGCTACAAAATGGACAGGCTCAAAACGAGGTCTTGCATGGTATTTGGAACCGGCTTGCTTTTTAGGAGGATTTTGACCTACAGAACGAGTGAAATTTACAATTCATTAAAAAGGGAACATTGTAAAAGAACCAGGCAGGAAAATACTTCCAAATTGTGCACAAGCTACATTGCTAGAGCGAGGTAATTCCCATCACAAAGGTGAAGGGACTCAAATATCAATGTAAAGTCCCAGTATAAGGAGGGATGTGTCCTACCAATTCATGTGTGAGGGAAGATTTGTGAGAAAAATATACCAAGGAACATATTAACTATGCAGGCTGACTAATACTGACTAATAGATGCTTTCTCAGCAAATGGGTTAACACACAGGTGCCATGTACTCTGGGTTAAAGAGGGTTTGTTCCAGTATCAGCTCATCAGACCTGTGCTGGGAAAAAGCTAACTTAAGGACCACACCTAGAACAGGTGGCTCTAGAGCAACAGAGATGATGACCAGAGGCTTTTTCACAAACCCTTTCTATCAGAGTAGAAGTGAAAGCTAAGGATACTCAAGTCTGATTATAAAGCTCACACTCTATGACAGCATTGCAGAGAGCTGTGACCAAGTGGTCCCCAAAATACCCACCTCCAAATCCTCGTCCTGATCTGTGTGGCACAAAAGGGTGCTTGCTCTATTTTATTTCTAAAAGAATTAACAGCTAGACGCTAATGGATTAGGAGGAGGGATATCAAACTTGAAGCTCTCTTGTGAGGCGACAGCAGATGCTATACTAGCACTCCCTCCGTATAACACTGTTTAGTACAAAGCAGGCCCATCTTAGACCCATCCAAGAGGATTCAGTTACTCAGCTACTTGAATGATTGTGGTATAAGGTATTCTATTTGGAGACAGGTGCCATGCCATGGACCTTAAGGACAGCATTATAGCCTGTCTCCAGTATTCTTAGCTTTCACTTCTACATAGCATTCTCAAAAAAAAAAAAAAGAGGTAGAGGTGTAAATAATGGAAAGCTGAAATGCTTCAATGTTATTAAAAGCATACACCACACTCATATCATTTTTTAAAAGGTCATGGTTTTTTCTTCAAATCCCACTTTTCAGAAACAAGTATACTCACCGTCACATGGTGAGAGGTGGCGTTTTTGACCTTTGGCATACTTAGACAGCGTCAGATCATAGGAATATGGCATTTCCCCAATATCAATGCCTTCAGCCATTTGCAGAATTTTTTCCATCAAGCGTGGGCTGTACCTATTTAAATGAAAATAACCTACAGTTATAATAAATAAGAATGTGGTTTTTCACAAAGCCTCTAAATGAGCCAGTCTTAATATTGCCCCCCATAGGACCTTTTCAAAAGAAGTATCTTGGCTATCAAATCTGCCCCTAAAATACTTACCTAGCAAATTTTCCAATAAATGAGTAATCATGTTACTGTCTTTAAGACCAAGGTTTTTTAAGAGAAGATATGCAAATATAAAATCAAGAAAAAAAGAGGATGTTATATTAATTTGAATTTAAAACATCAGCATAAACTCATGACTTACTCTTCTTTAATATGCACATATTATGGTACCTATACTAGATCAAGAAGCTATTGTCCAAATAGAGCAAGCGAATACAGCATGGTTTAAAATCAGGAAAGATATGAGTCAAGGTTGTATACTTTCTCCAAACATATTTAATCTGTATGCTGAGCAAAACATCTGAGAAGGTTGACCCTATAAAGAAGAATGTGGGGTCAGGATTGGAGGAAGACTAATCAACAACCTCTGTCATGCAGATTACACAACTTGGCTTGTGTAAAGTAAGAAGGACCTGAAATGCCTGCTGTAGAAAATAAAAAACTATAGCCTTTAATATGAATTATATCTCAATATAAAGAAAATAAAAATACCACTGGGCTAACAGGAAACATCGTGATAGATGGAGAAAAGATAGAAATAGTCAATTATTTCATCTTACTTGGATAAACTTGGTATCAGCAGTCTAGAAATCAAAAGGTGTACATATAGCATTGGGAAAGTCTGATATCAGGGATCCTTCCAAAGTCTTGAAGAGCAATGATGCCAGTTTTAAGACTAAGGTGCGCCTCATTCAGGCCATGGTGTTTTCAATCACTTGCTATGCATCTGAGAGCTGGACACATTGACTAAGGGACGACAGAAGAAGAACTAGTGCCTTTGAGTTATGGTGTTGGAGATGAGTACTGAATATCCCAAGGAACACCAAAACAACAAATTGATATATCTTGGAAAGTGTAGTCAGAGTGTTGCTTGGTGGCAAGGAGGATGAAGCTTCATCTCACATACTTTGGGCATGTTGCCAGGAGAGGCTATTCCTAGGAAAGGAACTTCATGCTTGGAAAGGTGGAGGTCAGCAAAAGAGAGGAAGACCCTCAATGAGATGGATTGACACAGTGGCTGCAGCAATGGGTTCAAGCATGTCAGACATTATAAGGATGGCACAGGATAGGACAGAGCTCAGATCTGTTGTTCACAGGGCCCCTATATGAGTTGTATTCAACTTATTGACTCCTCACAACACACACACACACTCCTCCTCCTAGCTATGTTCAATGAAGAGCCTGAAAATAATAAGTGTTAAGAACTGCAGGGTTATTAATATCAATATCCAGATTGCAGTCCTTAGAGAAATACCTAGTTTCAGGCCTGGAACAAAAAAGTGTTTAAGATAAGCCTGGGAGATCTAGTGCCTGGAGACAGGGAAGCTGTCAAAGGCTAAAAGGGTTGTGTCAAAAGGACTCAGAAACCAAGTGAAATAGATGCCTATGGGCAAAAGTGAGCCTTCGTCTCGATAGGAACAGTAACTACAACGGATAACGACACACCAAATATATTTTAAAGAATCCATCAATTACTCAAAGTATCCTTACTGATCACCTTTGCAGGACTGTTGGAAATCAAGCCACTACTCTGAAAACAGGTGAATATTAAAGAAGGCAAGCATTTATCCAGCACTTTCCTGTACAATCTGTACCTTGGAACAACCAAAGAGTTGCTGAGAGGATTTCTTTTACAGTAGCATCCCAGCTAATAAATGAATGAGCGATGACTACCACTTTCCAAAATAAATCTATTCTGGCTCAGTGAAAGGCTGACAGAGGAGAACCCAGAAACAGATCCACACAAATATGCACACCTGTTAAAGAAGAAACTAGAACGCATAACTCATCTTTCTTGTTGTTGTGTGCTGTCAAATCCAGATCCGACTCATAACTGACCCTTCAGCAGGCTTTCAGAGGCTGTAAATGACGCAGCTTCATACCATAAGACCACTGGAATTCCCTCTTTCCTGAGTCTGGAAGAAGTACATGGTACCTGGCTACCCCTACCAACCATTCTGACCAGGAACACAACAGATGGTCTCAGATAGAATTGGAGAAAAATAGGGATAGGGTACAAAACACAAAATCTTCTTCTTTTTTTAAAAAGGTCAGAAGGTGGCACGAAAAGCAAAGAAGGAAGCCCCAAAACAGAGGCCAAAGCAAAGGCATTAAAGGCCAAGAAGGCAGTCCTGAAGGGCACCCACAGCCAAAAAAAAAGAAGAAGATCTGCACGTCACCCACATTCCAGTGGTGGCCTAACACGCTGAGACTCTGAAGGCAGCGCAAATACATCCGGAAGAGCGTCCCCAGGAGAAACAAGCTTGACCACTGTGCCATCATCAAATTTCCTCTGATCACTGAGTCAGCCATGAAGAAAATAGAAGATAACGCACTTGTGTTCATTGTGGATGTCAAGGCCAACAAGCACCAAATTAGACAAGCTGTAAAGAAGCTCTATGACATTGATGTGGCTAAGGTCAACACTTTGATTAGGCTTGATGGAGAGAAGAAGGCCCCCCCAAGTCCACTCCACTATGTTACCTTTGTTCTGGACTCCTGTCATAACAATAATATCTAATCATATATCCCTTTTAAACAGTTCTCTCTTCTGTTGCAATGCAGTATAAACCATCTACCCTCTCTCAGTTTCGCTCGAATCCCTATGTCAGTCCTCCTTTATAACAGTGGCATTATGCCATATTTGTCCTTTTGTGACTGAAATATTCCACTCAGCATAATGTTCTCCAGGGGCACTTATTTTGTGAAATATTTCATGAGTTCCTTGTTTTTCAATGCAGCATATTATTCCATTGTGTGAATATACCACAGCTTCTCTATCCATTTGTTTGTTGATGGACACTTGTTTCCAACTCTTTGCTATTGTGAACAAAGCTGAAATAAACATAGGTGTACATGTGTCTGTTTGGGTGGCAGTTATGGTTTCCTTAGGGTATATTCCCAGGAGTGGAATTGCTGGGTCAAATGGTATTTCTTTCTTTTTTTCTTTATTTTATTTTTTTTTTATTATTATTTTGTGTGTATGTACCGTCAAATCCAATCTGACTGGTACAGGGGGAGATTGTACCTCCTTCTCCAGTAGAGCATCTGGTGGATTCGAACCTTATGCCTCTGGGATTGCAGTGCAGCTTCTTGCCCCTAGGCCACCAGAGCTCCTCAAATGGTATTTCTATTTGCAACTTTTTGAGAAAGCGCCACACTGCCTTCCATTGTGGTTGTACCATCTTACACTCCCACCAACAGTGAATAAGGGTTTCAGTTTCTCCACAACCTCGCCAGCATTTATTGTTTGCTGTTCATTAAATTTTGTTATTCTTACTGAGGTGAGATGATATCTCATAGTTGTTTTGATTTGCATCTCTCTTAGAGCTAGGGATTTTGAACATTTTTTCATGCGTTTGTTTGCCATTTGAATGTCTTCTTTGGTGAAGTGTCTGCTCATCTCCTGTTCCCATTTTGCAATTGGATTGTTCACCTTTGCCATGGTGGTCAAGACAGCATGGTACTAGTACACTGATAGACACATAGATCAATGGAATAGAATTGAGAATCCAGAAATCAGCCCATTGACCTATGGTCAACTGATTTTTGACAAGGAGATGAAATCAGTCAAGTGGGAAATGACAGCCTTTTTAACAAATGGTGCTGGCAAAATTGGAAATCTGCAGCAAACTCAGGCAAGATCCACACTTCACTCCATACACAAAAACTAACTCAAAGTGGATCATGGACCTAGGAGACCTAGGACTAAAACCAAAGACTATAAACGTCATTAAAGAAAAGCTTGGAAGAGCCCTAGAAGTCCTAATCTATAACATGAACAGTCTTCCAAGCATCCTGAAAAAATCTACAACCAGAAGAGGATAAAATAGATGAATGGGGCCATCTAAGAATCAAATCCCAATGCACATCCAAAAACTTCACCAACAGGCTAAAAAGGGAAGCCACAGACTGGGGGAAAATAATTGGTAATGACACGTCAGACAAGGGACTTATGTCTACAATTTATAAAATACTCGAGCACCACAACCAGATAAAGGTAAACAACCCAATTGAAAACTGAGCACAGGATATGAACAGCCATTCTTGGAAAACTCTCTATAGAGGGTCAGTTCCGACTTGATGATGCATTTCAACATAAAACTACTAGAAAAACATTAGGGAGCTCTGGTGGCCTAGTGGCAAGAAGCTGCACTGCAATCCCGAAGGTAGGTGGTTCAAATCCACCAGATGCTCTGCTGGAGAAGGAGGGGCAAACTCCTCCTGTACCAGCCGGATCAAATTCGACAGTATACCAAATTTAAAAAAAAACCACACACAACCAAAACCCAAAAACTTTTAGAAAAATACACAAGAACTTCAAGATCGAAGGCTAGGCAAAGAGGTGTGAAACTTGACACCAAAAGCATGATCTTTGAAAGAGCAAGTGGATAAAGAGAAAAATATCCTGTTAAAAACAACCACCCATCCACCCACTAAAGGTCTCTATGAATAAAGTGGATCAAATGACAAACTACAGACTTGGACAGAGTATCTGCAGATCACAAGTACAACAGAAGTCTGGCACCAAGAATATATGAAGACCTCAAACAAAACTCAACAGCTGGACGAATAGAAATTCTTATCTATTGCTAGTGGAGCTTGGTGAAAAAACTGGTGGTTCCTCAAAGTTAATATAAAATTATATGACACATACATTTCTACTCCTGTTGTTAATGTGCTGTTGAGTCAGAATCAATTCCTAGCTGACCCTCCAACAGGTTTTTCAGAGGCTGCAAGCTGCATAGGAGAAGATTGCCCATTTTCTTCTCTTGATGGCTGGTGGATTCAAGCCTTGCCATTGGGCTGGCAAGCACAGCTCCTTAACCACTCGGTCATCAGAGCT